TGTGTTTCGCCGTGTGAGTGAGGTTACCGGAGGCCCAATCCTTCCCCTTCCCGGACCCTTCCCCAATCCCTAAATCTCCAAATCCCTAATCCCTAAAAGGTCGGCAACGAACTCGTAACTCCTCTGTTGTGGGTGGGTTATGGGCGACGTTGATTACTTACCATCAGGTAATCCGTCTGCTCGTTTGTCGACTTATAACACTAAAAAAAACCGCATCGAAGACGGTTGATAATAATTAATATGTAATAACGAATATTCGAATGTTCAATCCGTCAATTACAAGTCGACTTTTATGTTTATAAAACAAATCAGAATTTTGAAAAACACTTTTCAGCAATTAAATAAATGAGAAATTTTTGAAAGAAACAGGGAAAATATTCAGGTTTCTTGATACTGACAACACAAAAAGAAGAAAATCTGGAACGTTTTCATAAGTCAACTTGAATTTAGTTGACTATAAAGAGCAGGCCGGTAATAATTTCGATGGAATTTTGGTAGTCTATATTTTTTTTAATTATTTTCAGTTTTTTTTATTTGAGCCCTGTGTATTATTAATACACAATAATTCTCAAATCAGTATCACAGAACACTGTCGAATGTGTTGTAAGTAGTAGATACTCAACAAACCGCCAGTGTAGATGGTCACGATTGATTGATTTAAAAAAAATATGTAACGTTGACATTAACCTACGAGTATGTAACTCTAACTTGTTGCGTACAAACCTCATTTCCTTGTTATAAGATTATACAAACTAATATTATAAATTTGAAAGTAACTCTGTCTGTCTTTTCTTCGCACCTGAAATTTGGTACAGACATAGTTTGGAACTCGAGAAAGGACATAGGATAGTTATCATACCAAAAATCTGCAGGAAGTAACTATTCCACGCGAACGAAGTCGCGGGCAACAGTTAGTTTTTTTTTTATATTTTGGAAGACGATTGAAGTATAAACACACTATTAAAATAAAAATTCATTTTTTATGAAGTTTGTTCTTATTCAAGTATCACGACGCTTTTAACAGAACCATCATATCGGAAACAAACTAATTGATAATGAAGTCAGCCATTAATTATCCAACAACTAAATTCAAAGTAGTACAATAATATTTTTATATATCTACCTACTTCTGGTCTTCCTATTAATACACTGTTAAATTTCTTTGTAATAAATCTTAACAATCACACAGTCAATTAAAATCAATTAACGATCATAAAGAGGCCACACAAAAAGTGCATAAATGAAGTATCTAGCGTGTTTTTTTCAAAGTTTATAGCATTCATACATTGTTTTAATGTTAGTAGGAACACGTGTAATTTCACAAGAAGGAAATGGAATTTGAAAGTGTGATTTATGGAAAGATTTTTTATGAAATGCGTGTTGAAATAAATTGGTTGAAAAATTGGAAATTAATTATTTTTTTTATGTTTTTAATTGTGTTTAGGTAGTTTGTATTTGTTTTAGATTGCGTCGTGCGTCGGCGAATTGTTTTTTTTTATATAATTTTCTATCAATAGAAATTCTTTCGTTCATTCATTAGGAATTTATATGAATTAAAAATATTGTTTACCTGAACAGAGTACAGTTCAAACATAATAATAATTATCTACTATCCAAAATCATACTATAAATTCGAAAGTAATTCTTACTGTCTGTCCGTCTTTTCTTCACGCCTAAACAATTGAAGCGATTTGTGTGAAATTTGGTACAGACATACATAGTTCGAAACTCAAGAAAGGATATAGGATAGTTTTAAACCAAAAATCTGTAGGAAGTCACTAATCCGCGCGAACAAAGTCGCTGGCAAAAGCTAGTCTATCATATAAAGGATGTTTGCATTGTTTCACGTGAAATCACTTGTAAGTACCGAATGCAGAAACATGCCTATAACTTTAAGAAATAAGACCTCTAAACAATTTTATTTTGTGATCTAAAAACTCTTTCATAATACAAAGACAAAGATCATTTATTTGCATCTTGTACTTAACTACTTTATTTAAAAATAAATGACAAAGCAATAAGCTAAGTCGGCTACTCGTTCTAAATATTGTCTCGCCTACACTCTTAATTTTAATCCTTTGAAAGTATAAACCGAGACAGATTAACTTGCCACTTTGTTTTTAACAATTTATCTCCTCTAATAAATTGCTTTATTAGTAAGTTTTTTTTAAAAATAGAACGTCTGCAATGTTGTATATACAATATGTAATACAATAATACAGTATAGTATGTATATACATACTATACTAATATTATAAAAAGGTAAAATTTGTAAGTTTTTATGTAGGGGGTAATCTTTGAAACTGCTGGTCGGATTGCCTAAATTCTTTCACTGATAGATAGCTACAATGTTCCTGAGTGCTATAGGCTATAAAATATTACGCTACGATCAAATTGAGCCGAGCAGCGGGTGAAACCCGAGCGTAGCTAGTTGTTTATATAGACCTTTGTCTCTATAAAATTAATATTCGTGTTAATATAAAGGTCTTTGAATTAGTTAGTGGGACCTAATTATTCAGATTTTTAAGGATTTTAAGCTAATGCTTTTGAGATTGGTTTTTTAGGAAACATTTTTAGTAAATTTTCTCACCAGTAAAGGTTTGCTTATGTTTTCATGGTTGTATCTGGCAGACCCTGGATGAAAGGAGTTGTAGTGGTTTTAAGAGGTTGCAGTGAGCTTGTCCCTACAAAAAATACCCCACGGGAAAATCACGTAGACTAATCTATACAGTCTGTTTTGATACATGGCTTATTATTCCGTTATATTACTCACTCAATATTCTCAATGACATTCGTCGACTTACAAATAGATGTAACCCTTTCCAAGGTACATACATAAGTTAGTGAATCAGCCAGTTGTGAAATTGTGAATCTACCTAATTAAAATTCGTTAATTAACGCAAAATTGAGGTTAGTCAATATTATTCACATACTGCTACTCATGTTTTATATTTATTGTGACCTTGAGACATGGATTTAATATACAATTTTGGCACAGTTATACCTTATAATGTTATTCGCAGTTAATTATAAATCGTAAGATTATACCAGGGTTCAAAAGGCTTATCTAAATACCCTCCATTCGTCCTAGACTTGAAAGAGTGTATTTGGAAGTATATATGACAGAAAAGAGGTTTTTATGTAGACCTCAAGTAAGTGAAGATAAAACAGGAAAAAAAACAATCACAAAATTAAATAAATCACTGGCGACCTACACGATAGTTAACGTTTTAAATACTTAATGTATGTAACTGTGATCTTTAAAAATAAAAATAAAAACAAGATAATAGATAGAGTGCGTAATTCAAATTTTAAATTTGGAAACGTCTTCAATGCCTCTATAAAAATAAATAACGTCCAACTATTTTTATAATATATTAGGTATATGCCTATGCTATTTTCGCGAGCATACTTACGATATATTGCGCCATTTATTCTACTTATCAGTACATTTTCCTTTGAAAGCAAAACAAGGGTCTGCTGAGAAATATTTAATTGATAGGAACCGAACAGATTAATGTGTTTGTCAAAGATCCTTGCTTTCGTCCTGCACGATTTATCACCATTGATTGTCATGGAAGAAGTAAGCTCAGAAGGCCCATTCATAACAAACTAGCAATGATCTGCTTATACGCATGTGATCCACAGATTTGGAGTTAATAACATCTATTTAAATTTATATTAATAGATGTTATTATACCTGTAAATCATCCTCATCGATCAATGTGTCTAATAAAAACTGTATTAAAATCGAATTAAACGAAATAGCATACATAGGGATATAGGGACAAAAAACCGACTTTGTTTTTTACTGTGTAGGTATGTACACAAGAAGTATCTTATGCTCAAGAGCACACAATTTTAAGGAAATGAATTTGATCTCTGAAATACCTACTTTGAGTAATTTGGCTAATAGTCCTTGATAAAGTGTTATCCAAAAATATTGTTATTGGTCTTTTTAAATATACTTGAATTTTTGAAACGTTTGTTATTTTAATAAGAGATAACCATTTAAAGGTCAAATAATATATTTAAACTTAAACACGCCTCCAAAACAAATGAGGAAAAATGTCTTTGTAAATTTCTTGTAAACCTTCTGTTTTACCTTAGCATAAAATAAAATGAGACTGAGGAAAACTGTGTGAAAACCAAGCTATCAAACCGAATGATAAATCCAAATCCAAAATATAATAGATGACTGTTACCATGATTCACTGTTTTTAATCCATAAAACATAGGTACCGATGGCATACTTTTGTCTAGCGTGGAATTATATACAGATTTTTTTTATACATTTTTTTTTTTTATAACAGCAAATGAGTTGTCTGATTACCTGATGGTAAGCAATGGGCGCCGCGATGCATTCTCGCAACACAAGGGGTGAATGCTTTGCCAACCTTTTGAGGGTTAGGTGTAGAGTGCTTGTTATGTATAGTTTTGTATGGATAACATAAGCATATAAAAAGAAATTCAATCTTAACTATTAATTAGAGTTAGGTTTCGGGTTAAGCGCGGTACTAAGGTTCCGCGGCCCCGACCTGGAGCAGGAGAAGAAATGGGGTGATTTTTAGCCGATAAGAGTCAGACATTCCCCCTATACCCCTGTCAGACAGGGAGAATATGATTTTATAACAATTTTTCCGCCTAAAAAATAAACGAATAAATAAAGTTAACACATGTTATAAATACTACATTACATAACTTAAGACTGAGCCTTACCACTGTGAAAGAACAATTCAGCGATCCAGGGCACGAGAAGGGTTTTAGCCAGTAAGAGTCGGACACCCTTTTCGCTCTCTCACTACTAAGTCATTCATTTTATATTAACTTTCATCCGTGATTCATATCAACTATATCGTATTTACGAAAAATGAATGAATGAATGAATGAAACGCAATAAATCCTTAAAACTTTCCACCACTTGGCGATAAATAAAAACTTAATTTTTATGAAGTTTTTATATTTCATTATATCTAAAATTATTGCTTTCTTCTTTTCAGAAATCCCCAGAAGAAACATTGAAACGAGGTTTGACGAACAAATGTGTGCAGAGAGAGACATCTTCGTGTATAGCCATCGAATTAGTTGGTTATGTGGATCGGATGCTCAGGACAGCATCCTTCCAGCTCGGAGATGATGTTATGATTGTTGATGAAAGGTAATTACTTAATACTAGTGAATCTTCTTTGAATAAGGGTTGAGGAGTTTTTCGGAAGTAATATGCCAAATCTTTATCTTCAGCAATAGAGTAGAACTGATGATACTAAGCTTTTAAAATACGAACGAACGCACCTTAGTGACACATCTTAAGGTCTTGTAAGCCGCAGTCAGTATTTGGAATAATACAACTGCATGGTTGGCGCAGTGGTTGGGCAACTAGCTGCTGTGCAACGTGTCACGGGTCCGATTTACGCACAGAACAACACTTTGTGTGATCCACAAATTGTTGTTTCGGGTCTAGATGTGTTGTGTATGTGAAATTGTATGTTTTTAAACGCACCCACGACACAAGAGAAAGTCCTAGATAGGGGCAACGTTTTTTTTTTTAAATAGAAAATAAAACCTAAATTTAATTATAACTTCATAACCAAACATAATAATATGGTAATAGTTAAGATTTAACTGACGAAATCTCCTATCAAACAGCTTAATTAAACGGTTTTTTTTACTCTATCATCATCATCATCTTCCTGCTCTTGTCCCGTTTTATTTGGGGTCGGCGCAATATGTTTTTTTCTTCCATTCTGTTCTGTCACCCGTCACGCTATCACTAACTCTTCTGTCTTCCATATCACTTCTCACACAATCCATCCTTATTTTTACTCTATGTATTAATAATAATAAAGTACAAAAGAACACGAAAAAAGTGAATAAGTGCGGAACACTCCTTTCCAAAATACACCTAATCTTATCCAAGAAAAGTAACGAACAAAGGAACAACAAGAACTTTGAGGATTCTCCTTATAAATTAAAAAGGGTAGTTTAACGCAAATAAAAAGTATTTAGGTAGGTACTGACAAACCTGAAACTTTCAGGGGAAACTTCTTAGAAAATGTCCACGAGTACACACGACCTTAATTTATTCAGTCGTTAATGAAAAACTTTTTAATACGTCAAACGTTTCGAGATTGCCATTCGGTGGCACTTTTTTAAAACTTTCTTTCTTATCTAAAAGGGGTTGTTTATTACAAAGTTGGATAAATCAGATTCGTTCATCATTATGTATTTGATTTCCTTCTTTGTTATAATGCCATAAACAAGTACCTACCCATGTAAGATAATATGCACTTTCTAAGTGTAAAAAATAATAGGGGTACACGAACTTACAATTTCAATCTATACATTCACAAATAAAAAGAGAAGATAAAATTAATATATTAAAAAAAAAAAACTAAGACAATTTCTTATAAATAAATGCTACTATTCCATTAACGAATACCTAAATGATAAAAATATATAGACATAAACAGTCCCACGCAATACACACACACACACACACAAACGCACACGCACACGCACACGCACACGCACACACACACACACACATACACACACACACACACACACTCACTTTCAGTGTAGATTAAGTGTTTTAATAAATAATAAAAAAAACTTTTAAACATAAATATATTTAACTTACTTGCCTATATAGCCGATAAGAGATTCCTCTCTCCTATCCCACTTACTTTGCTGTGCCCGACAGTGCCCATGTGAACTATTTATAAGTACTACCACCTAAGAATACATGTGGAAAGCAATAAAGTATTGAGTATTGAGTATTGAGTATTACTGAGAAGTTTTAAGAAACGATTAAACCTTTGCCATTTCAGAGAATTGAACCTAGAACTAATCGGTCAGCACTTTCAACTATTCGATCAACGAACCATTTCAAAATGAATTCTCTAACATTATTAACTATATTTTTCAGTCATGGAGCCGCAGCTGAAATCCCAATTAAATCTGAAACCCTTGCGAGAGCCGGTACATCACTGGAAGACCAGGCCCAACAGTTCATCATGGACAAATTGTGGCACTTCGTCAGCTCGCGGTCCTTGAGGTACAGGCTGCTGAATGATGCAGACCTGGTCATCTCTGGCAAGCAAGAGAAGGATGGAAGCCTTGGTGTTGGTGAGTTTATTTGTTATTCTCTAACTGTTACTGGTTATTATATTGCAGTATTCACGGTATAGGCAATAATATAATTAGTAACTAGCTACTGTCACGCAGTTTAAGCCGCTGTTAAAGATCTTAGCGTTATGTTTTAAAGCTTAAACCCTTCCTTGATAAATGGGCGAAAAACACAAAAAGAATAATAGTTCAATACGAACCAGTTGTTCCGGAGATTAGTGCGTTTAAACAAACAAAATGTTCAGCTTAATAATATAAGCATAGATATAGATAATAGGTTTTTTAGCAAAAATGGAAAATGGTGAGTTTAATAAAATCATAATGACTAGCGACCGCATATCCATCTCATTGTCCGTCAAAAGTAATGAAAAAAAAAAACATACCGATTAAGGGCTGATTTTTCAATAGTTAAATAAATGTTACTTGAGGAATAAAATTGTTGCTGTCATTGTCTTATACAAAGATTGTGACGCGACAGCATCATAATTGTTCCCGAGGTAACTTTTATCAAACCATTGAAAAATCTGCACAGAATACCAGCGTAAAGTAATACTACTCGTAACGTTATGTTTTGCCGTGCGAGTGAGATTATCTTCCTCACCCCCATCCTTAATCCTCAAATCCTCTTTCTTTAAATCCTTAAACTTGTAGTTACTCCTTTGGTCTTACGAGTGCCAAAACTGCACTAAATTATCAAGTACCAATGTGACTTTTTCCGAGTTAAGTGTACTTTCTAAGATTAATTAGATACCACTTACATACGGTGAAGGAAAACATCGAGAGGAAACATGGACTTATTATAATTTATAAAATTTGAAATCGCCAATTCGCCTTGAGCAAGCGTGGTGATTAATGCTCAAATGCCTACTCCTTGTCAGAAGAGGCCTTTGCTCAGCAGTGGACACTTGTAGGCTGTATAATTATCATCTTTACATTATCATCTTATTTACATAAAAAAAACATTGGCAGTCAGAAACCTATAGCTGAACGTGAACACATACCTAGCAGTACCCTAAATGGTTTCATTCAGGTGTACTGGATTGTATAATTGATTCGAGCTCAGTCGACCGCCACGCTGGGAAGTAATTAGAAGGGGTCATGCGATGCGTGGTTGTAATAGGATCTGCGTGAACGATCACCCGGACTTGCAGAGCAATTTTGTATTTGGAACTGTAATGACCAATCGGGGTTTATTAGATAGAGCTCAGTGGGTGAAAAATTTAATATAGGTTACGTAAAAAAAAAGAATATTAAAATAATTTATTTCTAGTAGAACAAAACAGGCAATTTTGAAAGTCAATAAAAAAAAATTATATCAAAAGGATTAACTTTATACCTGACAGTCTATCGTCTGACCTCTACTGAAGCTATTTGCTCGTTCGTATTCATATCAGTATTTGTAAGAATTTATATTTTACTTCTTCTTCTTCTTTTTATTCAAGTCTTAAAAACGTACCAGTTTATAAAATTTCCAAATAAAAAAGTTTTTGCATTGCCACAATTCATCTAATCATATAACCTACTTACTAGCGACCCGCCTTGGCATCCGTGCGATGCTGATAATTATTTTCTCCGCTATTTAATGGATATTATATAAGTATGTATATACATATGATCATTTTTCTTCAATTCATCTATCTATAAAACAAACACGTCGAATTCTGTTGAGTAGTTTTCAATATTTAAGCATACATAGGATATAATAATATAGGGACAGAAAAAATACTTACTTTTATTCCTTATAGTGATAAAGCCAGTTATAATAAATATACTTCCATTTTATTACAGGTGTATCAATGAAACCACCGAAGGTCTTCGAAAGTGGAAGAGGTCGTCAGAAGCCATTCGGGCCTGTGCTGGCCTTGGCCGCCCTTAAATTCGGTCTATTCGGTGCTTTGACCTTCAAGGTCCTAGCCCTTATGGTCGGAAAGGCCCTACTGATCTCAAAGATTGCCCTTTTATTATCAACCATCATCGGATTGAAGAAGCTATTCTCTTCTCAGGTGACAGACTGATCATTTTGCATGTTGCATGGTTTTATTAAATGTTTCGTTCGTGCATGTTTGTTTTTCTTGACTGTTATGACTTTTTGACTGCTTGGATTACTCTGACTGCTCTCATTTTCCTGACTGTTTGACTGAAGTTTGTTTTTGGTGATACGGTTTCATGATATTTAGATGCATGGCTGTGTTCACGTATGATTTCTGTAAAGTTTCATGCATTGCAATCAATTCCACATTGACCGCACAATGAAGATTTAATAATCAAGTAATTTGCAATCTAAAATTGGTTTTAATTACTTTTAAAATTTCAATAAAGCATTATGCATTTTTTTTTTCAAAACAATTAACGTATAATCATAGCATCACAAATATAAATATAAAACAAAAACCTCTTTTAATATAAAACAAAAATATATCGTCATTTCTAAACAATAAGAAACATATTTCACACATTGGAATTTCTATACAGTATGTATGTAAAAATAACTCCATGATATTGAAATGTAAACTTTCCTTTCAAAGGGAATATTTTCAATAGAATTGTAAAAGCATTGGTTCTCACATTCTACTGTGATTTCTAGAAAAGGTATTCAATATATCCGCCATCCGCCTTCAGAATATACTCTAAATCGAATCATATTTTCATTGTTCTGGACGAATGTGTTCTACGAAATAAAATTTGTTCGAAAACAAACAGCAAGGCATTAATACAGCTACTAGCTTGTTTGTTTTAAAAATAAAGAATTTGAGTTTTATTTAATGGCAGAAACATTTATGTTACAAGTATTTCTTCGAGAAAATTTCAGAATAATCTTATAATAAATATAATAAATTTTGAATCCTAAAGAAGTGACGATCTTAAATAATTAGGTAATTATATTATTAACACGAAAAAGTGATACCCTGTGTTAAACACGTTATAAGCACAAAACATCTTTAAATTGATTCAAAGATATTTTATTTTATTTATTTATTATGTTAACACGGATTTGATCCAGTTACATTAACACAGATATAATAAAGGAAAAGAAAAAACGTAATATAAAAACATGAACTTAAAACAAACAATTAAACAAACAAAAACAAATAGGAACTAATCATTCAGAGTTTCACTAAAACTCAAACATATACCTCTAATAATATTCGTTATAGTATTAATTCCATTTTAGACTAACATTACAAATACATTCGGCAGTTTTATGTAAATAAGTAATAACATTCATACATCCATACTCACATACTTTCACGTTTGTAATGTGAGTAATATTAAGTCACCATGTAATAAATATAAAGGTTGTACTTTTAGATGATGATTTAGGGTCAGAAACAGAATCGTATCAAAACCGCCACATAAAATAAATTCCAATAAAAAATAATATTTGCCATATGTCACCAACGTTAGCCATAGCGAACACGTGAAAAAATGTAGCCATTAAAAATGAAAAAAAAAACAGATTACCTGATATGTTTTTAAATGAAAAACAGATTATACAAGGCCGAGTTAATGGTTTAAAACGGCAATCACGAAGCGGGAAATTATTTCAAAAATATTAAAAATGTTGTCGGGTCTTTTTTTTTAAATAGATTATGTTTTGAAAGGTTTTGTAAGGTTTGACTTTTAATCTTTTTATTCTTGCCAATTAGGAAAAAATATTATATCTAATCTTTATTTATTACCTTTTGTCTATTCGTCATTCGGAAATGTGTTCTTTGGTAGCATTATCATATGACATGGCAATGCTGTCAGCCTTCTGGGCTATTTCTGTAGTTACCTGTTTTTTTTATTTACTTTTAAATTAATCAGTAAGTCTTTTGACAGCCAACAAAAACTGTCAAGGATTAATCTTTCACTAGCGTCGGAAATTTTTAACCGAATTGGCGTTGAATGTGTTAACTAGTCTTAAATTAGTTTTAGGTAATAGAAAATCGTATAGGTATATTTGCATCATATTTTACATAAAATTGTATTTGTTCAATTGTAAATAAATATATAAATGAGTGCATTGTATAGTATTTTTGATAATAACTATATAGCAGGTTAAACTAATATAAATACTTTATTTAATTAATTAATTTTATTTATTAACACGAATTACTAACATCTATACAAACTAATTGCATAATAACAAAGTGAAATAAAAAGGCTCACAAATAATTACTAAATAATTATACAAGAACTTAAATTATACCAAAACAGATAGATAGATTAATTTTATATTTATTTATTAAACTCCATTATTTATATATGGAGTATTCTAATTAAATTTGTAATGTTAAAATCTTAATCAAAACTATAAATTCACGATTAAATAAAAATGACCACCTAAGTTTACAAAACCAAATGTTTTGCAATACATAATGCTATAATCATAATACAAAATTAATATTACATCCTTTCCTGTAAATCCAAGATATTTATTGTAACCTTGTAAAATGCAAAGTGCAAATTTAGTTTTCCATTCATAAAGAATCCCACTGCAATATATTAAAGAAGTGAAAATCGCACTCACCAGCGCGGAGGGTTCTGTAGGAGCCATTAGTTCATTTATTTATTAATCCGATAAATAAATGACATTAAAATCAACTATGTTAATTATATTTTATTGTGATTTGCCCCGGCTACGCACGGATGCAATGCTAATACTATTATATATTTATTATACACCATTGTCTTCAATAACTCAATCTATTGAAAAAACCTCCTCATCAAAATCGGTTGCTTATTTTTATAGATTTAAGCGTACATAGGTTAACAGGGGCAGAAAAAGTGACTTTGTTTTATACTATGTATTACCTAATTACGATCCGCAAAACTGTTTGCATTGCGTTGCACACTACGGGAAAAGAAAAATAATATACAAAATATGTATTTTATTTAATAGGACGGACCAATCAGCTTTAGGATTACCTGATGGTAAGCAAAAAGTAAAAAAAGTAACAAAAAGTGTCAACATAAGAATTGTGTAATGGGGACTTACCGAGGGCGTGTAAAATTCAGTAAGAGTCTGATAGTCTCTCTTTCTTGGCCCACCCAAGACAGGAACAGTCATTTTATGATTTTTCCCTCACAAAAATGGGTGTAAGGTTTTTTATCCATTCGGTAGGGAACTCTAAATAAGATCATTTAACATTCATTTTTAACTCTGGACGTGACTTAGCACTTAGCAGTTCTTAGCTAAAGAATGCAATATTTTATAAGAATATTGAAAAACCGCTTTGTTCTAGTAAAGAATGAAATTACTTAGTAGTTTGCAATTTAAAGTTGTCAACGGTTTTGTTTAGTTTTGAAGTATTTAAGTGTTTATGAGATACGGGCTTAAAAAGAAACTATAAAGTCAAGAATTATAAACACCTCAAGTCACTCAACAGATTTTAATGATAATAATTCAAAAATCTCCGATAAATTCCACGATTTCAAATTTTAATTTCTTACAAAAGCGTTATACATATTTTACAAAAACCTACCGAATTTCTATCGTAATAAATCTTAGCCAGAAACGCTTAAGGTCAACCTTTTTTGAAGTTTTATTAGACTTGGTAAAATGACCTCTGGATTAAATGGCCTACAAAATTCATTTTAATAATATTTTAGTTCAAACACAAGTTATTAGGGTACACATAAATTTTTAAGGTAGGAGAAGAAAATGTATTCGTGACCTTAGGTCCTTTGTTAAAATAAAATTTCTTTATAACCGCACCTATATATGAGGCCCGCATATCAAGCTATCCCACTTCGTTACATTTGATTATAGACTTTCGAACAATAGTTTAAAGTAAAATTTTCTTTAAAAAACTTTGAACAGTTTACATTAATTTATTAAAATAATCTTCAGTTTGGATTAAATTGTTATTTTTCACGACAAAAGATAAAGAATTTCAATGTTAAAGTAACACGGAATGTAAAACGTAGCTGTATTAAATTATTTTATCTAATGACCAAATAACTTTATTCTACTACCTACTTACTAACAAATAAAAAGCGGTTGTTATTTTTTCACTCGGTTTTATACTGTTAGTTGTAAACTATTTACCAAAAAAACGCTGATCACTTACCACCAGCTGATCCGTCTGCTCGATTGCCTCCTATTCCATAAGAAAGAAATGGGTACTCCGTACTCCTTCTTAAATGGTCGGCAACGCATCTGTGACACCTTTGGTGTTGCGGGTATACATGGACGGCGCTGATTGATTTATCATCAGCTGATAGCCCTACCTCGTGTGGCTCATATTCCATAAAATAAAATAAAAACGAAAATTAGTCCTACCAGCTTCTAAAGACGGCTTCGTTCGCATTACCAGGATGAGAAGTAGCCCTTGTGATATTTCAGACTATACTCTGTCTCTATGCCAATTTTCATTAAAATCCATCCATCAGTTTTTATTTAAAAATATAACAAACATCCATCCGGACTTTTCTAATATTTTTAGGGTTCGAAATATAAATTTTACAAGTACGAGTATTCAACACTTCATAATAACTTCAGAGACTAAAATAACTCAACACGCCACTTCTCTTCTAAAATGTTCAGTTTCTAGAAAAACAACCAAGAAGGTTAATTACCAGGGAAAGATGGAAACAGCTCATGTAAAACATAATACGGAACATTTTCTCAAGCTTTTCTCCACAGCATACTCCATTTTGTTATTTGTATTTATTTTAATCATTGTTCAAGCAACTCATCCATCTTACCACACGCTGTAGAAAGGGTTAGCAAATTAATTTTCGAAAGAAAAAATCTGACAATAATATGTTGCTTCAACCTTTATGTAGCTATTCAACCCTTCCAGTAAAGGTGCTTGTAAGATTTATAATTTTGTTAGGAGCTGTCTCAATCAATAAGATGTTTCCTACACGTAAGCATTTTGTATATGTATTAGAAGTAGTTTAATTCATTTTTCTCTTTTTATATTCTTTTTAGCACAATGTGTGTTTAATAACGTTATATACGAGATACGATGGGGCTGACATGGTGTCATAACCACAAAAGTGTCTGAAAAAAATAAAGATTAAAAAAAACCTTTATGTAGCTAAATTCTTGTAATATTATAAACACGACAGTTTCTAAGTATAGTATAGAAGGATGTTTGTTTCTTTTTCACGTAAAATCTAAAAATTACTAATTGGATATAAATTAAATTGGGTACAGAGATAGATATATTTCTAGAATAATTGATATCACGAACACTATTGTACACTGGTTAACAAAGGCCTCCCTCTTATTCTTTCACGTCGAACGAAGTATGTAAGAACCATGTTTCGGCACGAATGGGTCAGTTAGACCGGAGTCATACCACGGCCTCTTAGAAAACCGGCGTGAAACAACCGCATCACCGAGTATATCAATGAGTTTACCGTAGTACCTTCTTCTCCTCTTATCCCTCCCCTATCGCAAGGCCGTTCTTTTTTATAGTTGGAAAATCATCGTATGCCTTAGGTATCTCCTATAGGGTAGGACGGAGTCAGACTTATACTGATTAATAACTAGTATTGCCTTCTCCTGTTTTGAATCGCAGTTCATTATTGCAAACCATTCTGCTGAGAATGTTCGACAAATTAACGTATTTCCACATTCTTAATTTAAATTTAAATTTTGAAATAAAAAAATTTAAAGGGCTGATTTTTCAATGGTCACATAACAGTTACCTGGGGAATAATTATGATGCTGTCGCGTCAGAATGCTTGTATAAGACAGTGACAGCAACAATTTTATTCCTCAGATATCATTATTCTGACTATTGAAAAATCAGCCCTAAAGCTATCAAAACAATTTAATATTTGTCCAACTATAGACTGCAGACATTCTTACAGTTGTTATGAATTATTATTTTAATAGTTTTTCACGTCACAAACACATGTGCCATTTGAATGGATCGCTTTAATTGCTTAGTACAATGCAGCTTTATATTACTTAAGAAGAACTCGTAGAATTTTATTTTATTTTGAATATGCAAGCTTTCATTTTCTCGTATTTAAAAATATTTAATAAACTTACACCAAGACTGCTGTAGAACACTTTTTTTTATTTTAGTTTCACAATAGATTTGTTCTTTAGAATGAAGCGTTATTAATATTTTATTTTAAATTTTATATAAAATACCGAGTAATTTAGTTTTAAGTGTAATTTCAGACAAGATTTCAATTAGTATCTAATAACTGAATGTAATATGATTCCTTTATTTGAATTCGTTACTTAGAATTCCAGTAATGAAGTATTTTTTATTTTATTTTATTACACTTTTTTATTAAATATAAACTAAAATGGTCGGTATTTATTTGTCTTCTTTAATTTATTTTTAACTTTATAATAAAATTAAAATTGCTTTTGTAAATAATTTCTAAACTAATAATATCAATGTACCATTTCTTTTCTTTTCAGTCAATCGATTCAAGACAATCGTTTGGAACTGAGTAAAAAAAAAATCTTTTAATGAAAGTACATAAAATATACTTAAATTAAAAGAAATTAAAGTACGAATACTTTTCAGGCTATTGTCAAAAAGGACTAAGTCAAATGGATGACTGATACTGAATGGAGTTAACGGCGATACTTACCTCAACAAAATAACCAATAAAATGAACCTTATTACACAATCCCCATGCTAGGACTGAAAACAAAAAGATGAAAAAATGGAGTGAATATTTTTTTTGACAAATCAAAACATTTTAGTCTTACTGTACCAATACAGATATATGTTATGAACTAGTACAGTAGGTTAAGATAGACCAAGAAACACAGAATACCTCCTTTTTGATATCTTTTGTAAACATAGTTTATATGCTGAAAAATACATTTGGTACATTGTACCAAAAAAAGACAAAGGGAATGAGAATAACCCACCAAAAGCAAAGAAAAGCATAAGAAGAGTGTAATAGGTTTCGTTTACATAAAAGTTGACAAAAAGTACCAAAGAAATATTATTAATATACGAAAGTAAAAAATGACTTATTAAAAAAATATAAAAAAAATGATATGAGCAAAATGAGTCACATTAAAAATCTGCTTTAATTTATTATCAAATAAAATGCAGCTAATATTTTGTCAACTTTTATTTTTATATTATTTTTTCAAATAATAATTATTTTTAAGCGTATACGTATTATTAATGTAAATAACACTATTTATTTATTTATACATTATCATGTTAACTTTAGTCATACTCACTAACTTGTACAATGATGCTAATTTCGCATTTAAATAATTGCTAAGCATTTGCCTTAATTATTAATATAATAATTTATTAAAAATTTGCATTAATTGTACTAATTATTTATTGTGGAATAAACGAAATGAATACTAACATGGTTTTAACTTTATTTAATCCTACTGACCAAGAATCTTTAACAATTAAATGTACTGCCTCTTATTGTAACCTATAGGAGAAAAGAATCATAAATATTAAAGACTAATCTATACTAATAATATTAGTAGTAGAGTTTGTTTGTTTAGAGGAGCGAATCTTCAGATCTACTACTTCGTACTAATTTTTTTTTTTAATTAAGTCAATTTATCGACATAGGCTTTAGGCTATAAAATATTACGCTTCAATCTGTGGGAGCTGAGCAGCGGGTGTAACTGCGATAGCATCTAGTATGAAGTAAACTAAATCAGTCGTTAGAATGGAGCAAGCCAAATCAATATCCAGGGCAAAATATCACATTAAAACATGAAATGGTCCTTCGATTCGGATCATTTGTTGAAGCTCTTACTTATAAAGACTTGGTAGACTTTATTAGAGGACTGACACTGAAGCAGCGTACAGTAGTGCTAATTAGAAATAAAATATAAATTATGTAAATTTGAGACACAAGAAATAGAACTGTGTCTGTGGAAATTTAGTTCAAATTTGCACTAACATTCATACCTTTTGTATTCTCTGCAAGGCACAAATGAACATAAAACTCTGTCTTGTTGAAATTCAACATACAACTGTTCCCCTACACTACTCAGAGGAAACAAGCAATCAAAAATAACACCAAACACAATTTCTTGAAGGTTGAATATTAAAAATCAAATTAAATATTTTGACGTCTGTTTTATAGGTAACTATGTTCTAAAACAATGTATATTAAAAAATAGGTGTCCTAAGATCGTAAGGAATAAATGCGATTAGTATTTACAGCAGTAACCTCCAGCAATAAGGTCGCTTTTGCTTTGTGTCCTTCACAAAATGTGATCCTTTACTTTCTAGGACGTTAAGATAAATACTAGATATTATTACCTCGACCCCATTTTACTTTTAAATATTATCATAAAGAATATTATTGTATTTACTTAATATCAAAAGTATACCTTGTAGAGGGAAAAATTAAGAATAATTTTAATTTGCAAATTAAGGTAGAGAAAGATTTCTTTGAAGATATATTTCAGCCAAATTTTACGACGTAGGCTTGTAAACAACAAAAATTTAAAGTTAAAAAAATTACTTTAAGTATTTTAATTTAATATACATAAACAATACGTCGCTCCATAAATAATGAAATGGGCTTCGTAAGCATTATAAAGAAGAAAGATTTTATTGTTTGTAAAAAACGCGGTAATATCTAATGATAGTATAGTGGTCTCTCAATTAGGTACCTACCATGATGTATTGTGAATGTCTGCGTAACTTTGTTCTAAATATTTTTATGGTATACGGCAGCAGACGAGCGGATGAGTCACTTCTTGGTAAGCAATCGTTGCCTGCAGCAGCCGCCTGATTAGCATGGATGTCCACAACACCAGAAGACTTGAATTGCGTTATTGGGCTCTTGGAGATCAGGGATGAGGGGATTCATAGGTTGGGAATAACTACACTCTCACGACGACACAAGTGTTCTTTAACGCTGGTATTCTATAAAGTCGTATCACTGCAAGCCAGCCTATGCGTCCTGAAGCATGGCTTCGTATCGAATTGAATTTTCATAATTTACAATCAGTCATGTATTTTCATAAAACGAAACAAACTCTCTCTGAATCGACAGAAATTACCATGAGATCCCTGAGTTATAAAAAATTACCATAATACCGTTCGTATTTTCCGCAACATGTTTTGTATATTTCTTTGCCCTTCGAAGATATTACAATATGCCCAATTACATCGTTTTTTTGGTTGATTATGTAATGTAAATATTTGTATGTTTTATTAAGAACTACAACTCGATTGGGACTTAATAATGATAGCCAAACATAATATTGTGACATAAAAATATTATTATAATGTAATACTCATGCAAGAAGGTTCTTGGTTCTTATTCTTGGACTAGATGGCATTACCAAAAGTGCGTTTCCAGCCTTTTCAGAGTTATTTAGGATTTGGAATGGGAAGAAAGGATTGAGCTTTTGGATAATTTCAAATTGTTTCGAGCACTTTATCTGTGAGGTGGTGGTATCCCACTGGTCTGAAGTCAGTAAAGTCATTGCTTCTAAATGAAAAAAAAAATTGAATAGGCAATGATCAAGAAAAATACTCGTTGTCAAATTTTTTTTTACTTGTTACGCTTCCTTTTATTTTCGAACCAAAGCGACGACGATGGAATTCAAAGCGCCAAGAGTGCTTCTGCGAACATTTGCTAGCTGAATTTATGACATGAGTAATAATTCTCCAGGGCGGGAGAACTCAGTATGTTTGAACATACCAAAACAACGATTTGTCAACGTTTAAAAAGTTTTGATAGGCAGTAAAAGTTGTTAATAACATATAAAAAAAACACGCAAAAAGTACTTGTTACATACACATTAAAGTACAATTTTGTTTGCTGTCCCTTTTTTGTGTAATAGGTTGGTACACGAGCTGACGAATTATCTGATGGTAAGCAAGCGACGCCACCCATGGTCTGTCACAATATCAAAGAAGTTACTACTAATGCGTTGTCGGCCTCTTGTGGGCTAGGATATTTGAGGAAAGATGATGTGGGGAAGGAGGTTCTGTGCGGGAGAGCCAAGCTTCGGCACGAATGGGTCGGCTCGACCAGAGTGATACCACGGCCTAACAGAATACCGGCATCAAATAACCCACAGTGTTGTGTTTCGCTGTGTGAGTAAGGTTCCCGAGGGCCCAATCCCTTCCCTTACCCTATCCCTTCCCGATCCTTATATCCGCAACCCCTATCCCCAAAAGGCCGGCAACGCACTCGTAACTCCTTTAGTGTTGCGGGTGTCCATGGGTGGCGCTGATTGCTTACTATCAGGTGACTCGTTTGCCGACTTAAACCATAAAAAAAAGATTAGGCCTTCGGTAACCTCATTCGCACGGCAAAACACAACGTAAATTTTGCTTTACCTCAGATTTCTGTGAGGCCGTGGTATCACTTCGGTTGAGCCGGTCCATTCGAGTCGAAGAATGGCTCTCCCAGATTTTAAACTAGAGTGTCGCTGAATACTGGCCATCAGATAATCCGCAGATTGGTAGCAGACCCTTGCTACGAAAATGGAAATGATAATTAAAATTAATATTTACTCTCCATTAGGTATTGTATTTATAATAGATACCTATCTATCTATGTGTAAAGTTACTTATCAATACAAAGTATACAAATCACCTGAAGGTAACATGCTATGATTATTTAGACACCTGGACTTATAATTTCTAATTATAAGTTTGAAATGGCCAACCCGCATTGAGCAAGTGTGGTGATCAATGCTCTAACCTTCTCCGTATGAGAAGAGGCCTTTGCTCAGCAGTGGACACTTATAGGCTGATGGTGATGATGATGATGATGAAGGTAACACTACGGTAGTTAAGTCCCTTGTCGGCCTTTCCAGAGAAGAGGCCTGGGCTGGCCTTAACCTCACCCACCCCAAAAAAACAACTAAACTGTTGAAAATGACGATAAATTCAAACTATCACGCATAGTTCGCACATATTATTATTAGTTTTTATTATTATTATATATTTATTTTATTATTATAAAATCTTAGTTCCAATTTCAAATTCAATATATATTCGCGACATAGCTAGCTTATTATATTTATTTATTTGCAAAGGAATTGTAACAAATACAATAAAAAAATATTACATTACAGTATGACATATCAAACTGAAGGCTCAACATTGAAGCTATATATTTTTATTTGTGTATTTGGCAATGTTTGGACCGTCATTCTGTAACAAAAGCATAGAAACAATAGTGTCGAGATTTGATTGAAAATAAATTGAATTGTTTCTCACGCGGTTCAATGTGTCAAAACGATATATTGGATTCTTCTATGAAATGTAGGAGCGATGTTCTGGAAAAATCTTTAGATGTAGACGTTCTTGATATGAAATATAAACTGTAAGCTTAGATTGGTGCCTAATGCTAGGTCTTTTGGTTGATATTTTATATTTGGATGGGCTTTTAGATACTTTAGGTTCGTGCTCAATCAATCACAGGGTTCTATTTGTTCATGATGATACATTAACTGTACTGAATACCTACGAATTTTTTGCCCATGATCGGCTCGGTTTGGCTTTTGGCTTTCAACTGATGTTTAAGTCATGATAAGGGGCCAGAGAAACTGGAAAACCCAGCTAGAAGCAGAAGAAGAAATGGGGTCTTTTTTAGGTTAGTAAGAGTACAACACTCCTTCTCGCTCTACCAAGACCGGGAGAAGTCTCGTGAGGAATCTAAAAATAATTCTATAAATATGGCAGTAAAGTAAATGAAACGCCTGATTCTTTCAATCCGCAACACACACATTAAAATATTGCTATAATAAAATCAACAGGTTCAACACGTTCACCTTCTTATGCTAAATATCAAGGACTTTTTAAGTGTACAGATAAAGTCTGAAACATAATTCCTATTTAATAAATGTCTAAACACCCACTTCAGATGTGGAATATAAGACCGTGACATTTTTGTTTGGCAGACAAAGATGTGCGCAGATAATAGGTATTACCTGCGTATGTATGTACCTATGTACAATCTGAACAATTATTTGGTATGCAGGTAAGAAAATAATGATTGACTCAGTATAGAGCCAGAAACTATTGTTACTCTTTATTATTTGTTTTTGATGAAACCATCTTTTGGACGCATTGTTAGGCTTAGAAGTGAAACTTATAAGTGTGGGAGAGCCAAACCTCGGCACGAATGGGTCAACTCGACCGGAGTGATACCACGACCTCACAGAAAACCGACGTGAAACAACTACAGCGTTGTTTTTCGCCGTGTGAGTGAGGTTACTGGCGGCCCAATCCTTTCCCTCCCCTAATCCTTCCCAATCCCTCAATCTGGCGAAATCCTAATCCCCAAAAGGTCGGCAATGCACTCGTTGCTCCCTTGGTGTTGCCATGGGCGGAGCTGATTGCTTACCATCAGGTAATCCGCCTGCTCGTTCGCAGACTACTATACTATACCATAAAAACAAACAATTTTCATTCGGAGGACATGGCGGAACCCACGGTTGCGAATTCTGAGCACCGCATGTTCAGGATACAGCCAGCGGCGGCCGCAGGGCAGTTGCACCTGGCTATGGTGCGGAGCTGCGGAACGAGACGAAATAGGAAGCCGTCTCCTCCTACTGCCAAGCTGCCAAGCAACCTGACATTTTTTTTATGTAATTGGTCGGCAAACGAGCAGACGGATTGCCTGATGGTAAGCAATCAGCACCGCCCATGGACACCCGCAACGGAGGAGTGACGAGTGCGTTCCCGACCTTTTAGGTATTAGGGATTTGGAGATTTAGGGATTGAGGAGGGATTGGGGGCGGGGAAGGATTGGGCCTCCGGTAACCACACTCACACGGCGAAACACAACGCTGTGGGTGTTTCACGTCGGTTTTCTGTAAGGCCGTGGTATCGGTCCGGTCGAGCCGACCCATTCGTGCCGAAGCATGGCTCTCCCACACTTTTATTACTTACATTCTCCGTATCGGTCCATTTCAAGCAACTGTTCCCTTTTTTTGTCTGACTTATCATGCTTATTATTTGAGTTAGTACGTATTGATTTCTTTTGTTTATCGATTAGTTGGAAGCATCAACCGTCTTGGGTGAGATTCCGATGTCACAAACAACTATTGAGTTGCTTCGTACCATACCAAAACGGATAAGTTTATCTATACTTCTATACTAATATTATACAGAGGTAAAAAATGTAAGTTGTTATGTAGAGGGTAATCTTTGGAACCGCTGGTCGGATTTCCAAAATTCTGATGGATATAGCTACAATATTCCTGAGTGCTTTAGGCTATAAAACATCACGCTTATATCAAATGAAACCGAGTAGCGGGAAAACCGCGCGAGATTAGCTAGTCATTAATAAATTAAATACTCAGACATATGTGGTGAGTAATTCAGGAATTGGGAAAGTGGGTAGTAGTATGTACAGGACAAAAACTATGGTTCTTTTAATGTACATAAATATTCTCACTAACTTTTACGCAATACAAAATTCTTCACAGGTATAACACCATTAAATAATATATGCAAGACTAGAAGCACAACTGTATGAAACGAGGTACCATAAATATGGAAAATAACAAAATAATAAAAAAAAATTTGGTGTTTTCTTTCTTCATTATTATCACACTCAATACAGTCTACTTTTGAACATGGCTTTCTAGGAAAAATTCCAGAGGATTTAAAGAGATTGGTCAGTATACGACCAGACGCATAGCTTGGTAAACTATCAACACCGCCCATGGACATCGAAGTGCGTTGTTGGGCTTTTTTGGGGGTTAGATTTTGTGGATTGAAGAATATACAAATTGGGTTTGAGAGAAGGAATAGGAGCGGGAAAGAAGGGCTTGTGATAACACTACTTGTACAGCTAAACAAACTGGTGTGGTTGTTTCAGGACAGCTTTCTTGGTAGTATCTGCATGCATGACTGTCCCACACTTTACATCGCCTGGCTAGAAGTAACCTTAACCTAGTAGCTCCAAGACATCTTCTTCAGGTCATCCGTTTGCATTGAAGGCGGACAATCTATATGAATATTTTTCGTTCTTAATGCTTTTCGATTTGTTTTCCAGAAGAAAAACGTGACATATGAGGTGTTTACGGATCCAAGTCTGTATTACGACTGGGATAATTGGAGACGAAATATTGTGAAGAGCCTGCGACTCCCAGATACTTTGAGAGGAGCCTAACATAGTCATTTAAAGTAATAATTTTAAAATAGATTAATTTAATAATATAAATAAAAAAGTCTTTAGTATTTTTCAAGAGTTTTATTTGACATCCTATTAATATTACAAATGTGAAAGGTTCTAAGAAAGTATGCATGTATGTTTGATATTCTTTCACGCACATACTCCTGGACGATTTGATTCAAATTGGGAATGAAGATAGGTAATACTCTACATTAACATATAGGCTGCTTTATAAACATATCACGCTGGCAAAGTCGCAGGTGAAAGCCGATATAATAATACTTGAAAAAGAAGATACTTTATTTGAATGGTTATTTACTTGATCTAGAAATCGAATCCAGAGTCTTTGTGAATGCCATTCTATTTGTCAGTTTACTATGAATTCGTGTATACTATAGTTTCTTTGTATTTATAGAAAACGTACATACGAATGCGTTTAATAAAAGTATAATACACAACCTCTTGTTTCCATGTGTCGTTGTTTGTAACATCCTTACACAAAACAGTTTTATATTACATAACGTTAAATCTCCTGTCGCATCTCTCCAGTACAAAAGAACAGATACTTCTAAAGTATTGTTTGAGTAGTTCCATTTCCCAGAGGACACTGATATTACATTCTCAAACTTACCCCTCTGTTAAGATAAAAAACTCGACTGTTATCAAAGAAAACTTTTTACACAACTTCAAAGCTTTTTCTTCATAATATATTTTTTTTTCATCATTTTACGCTATAGTTTGATAAATCTTTTTCTCCTGATAATAAGAATTCTCAAAGAAAAACTTTATAAGACACCAATTATGAGGCCTGACAATTTTCGCTTTCATAGTGTAACTTTTGTGTTAACTTTTTGAAGAATAATTCTGTTTTTCTACAACTTTCTCGGACAAATCAAGGACTTTCATTTTAAGTTGTTGTGTAAGTAGGTACATAAAATCAAATAAAACCACAATTCACTTGTTTAACATTATTTTATTTAACTAAGTGCTGAATAAATAAGTCTTAAATAACTTAAAAATAAATTACAATACAATTAAAATAAAGTCGACGGGCTCGCGCATTTCAAAAATTAAGTTTTCAGTCTTAAGGTCGGGAGTTGCAATGTCTTAAAATCTGGACAGAACAAAAGCCAAATTGAAGTAAAAAGAAAAATTTCCACGTCCAGGAAATTAAAACATTGCTATTGATTTATTTAAGCTAAATGCCAGACTGCCACGATTATCACAAAACTCGGATCAAGCCACGTGACAGAATGGCATTTAGCTGTGCGTTATGCTTGGCTTTAAATATCGCCACTTGATCCATGTGTGTGTCCAATTTTGTTTACTGAGACGGCGGCATTGTGATGGGGGGACCATACATCTGTGGCATTACGAACATGGGCATTGTCATAGTCTGGGCTGGATTCAATGGCGGTGGCTGTAGGCCGAAAAGGATTCTGAAGTAGCGCGCGACTGTCCATAAAACATTGGACGTCTCCGGAAGCCTATAACATAATGATTGTGGTTATATATAACATAACAGTGCAAATATCAATTCAAATTCTAGTTTTCTATATCTTTCAGGGTGCTCAGCTTCTGAAATTATGATATGAACAGCGTATCGTGGGCGTGATTCCGGATGGGACAATTCTTTGTGTGATCCACAAGCTGCTGCATTGTGTGTGCAAAATTCTCTGTTTCTAGACGCCCTTACGACACAGAACCAAAATTCAAAGCTACAGGCAGAATTTTTACAGTAAAAGGAAAATATTTAACATTTTAAATTAAATTAATGTTGATCATTAATTTATTGATAACATTTCAGTAACTGAGCATATGTTGGAAATGAACTCGATATAGAATGAAAGTTAATGAAGCACTACCCATAATTATAATTATATCGAGTTAATTTCAATCTTAAACAAAAAACAATTTTCATTGATATTTACAATAATACAACCCTATTACAAATTAATAATATCAGTGGGATAATTTCTATAGTACATCCTGAAATAGATACCGACACCAAAATTATAATAATTACAATAAATGCTTCTATAAATGCAAAAAACAACCCTACTTATTCTTTTACAATATTTCAAGGTTTGACAGTTGTAGTGTTTAATTCTTTATTTTCAACAGTTTGTGTACAATTACCAGTAACCTTTGTCTGAGCTTGTGATCTATTTATAGATTTTCTTCTATTCTTTTTCCTTCTTCTCTTTTCAATGCGTTCGTCTCCAAGAAGATGACTTTCTAAAGCCTCATTTACACCAAAAATACCATCAAACAAATCTAAAGTTATCATGACTACTCTATAAGCTGCTGTGTAAAATCCTGGCTCTTCAGATTTCAATGACTGATCAAGAACAGATTTCGTATATTCGTTTGATTGATTAATCATACTTCCTATAGGGTCAGTTTCGAAAAGAAATTTCAGAAAATCAAGGAAACTTCTACCTGTACTGTATACATTTGCATAAAACGAACTGCTAGTGGCATTATTTTGGCTTATGTCACCATCTATACTTCTTTTTGATCTAACTAGGCGTTTCTTTGTCTGTTTTCTACGAAACCTTCTCCTGATTGGTTTTTCCGTTACATTCTCCATTAATGTTTTATTAAACACGACTATAGGCTTCCAATCAGTATTTACGGGCGTAGTATTTATAGTTTCAGTAGTAGTAACTTCCTTCCTATACGGCATTAATCTACTATTATTAGGCTTATAAAAAGTATTCGGATTTACAAAATATTTAACCCTAGGATAAAAATAAGTGTTAGGATAGTTAAACTTATACTTTTTAGTCTTTATATAATCATGCAAGTCTTTATTCTGTTTCAACCTATCTAATGTTACTTTTAGATCTGCGTATTTCTTTGGCCTATTCCTGTTCTTTCTGTAAGTCATTTTTCTCTGAGCTATATTCCTAGGTTGGGGGACCAATATCTGTCTAGGCTTTTTCACAATCTCCAACTCATCCAGATCATCGTCGACAGGTTCAACGCTTTTGGCTTTGGAAGCGTCAGAGGTGAGACCTCGGAATGTGGCGGGCATGGCGCCGAAGAATACGTTCGCGATCGGGTCTATAACGTACTTGATGCCGTCGATGATCGGTTCGAGAAATTTGAGCAGTTTCGACTTACCGTCCCATCTCTGTTCCGCTCTCGTTGAGTTAACGAGCAATGTGGGCGCCTGTTGCGACTGCTGAGCGCTCGCGTCGCTCTGGTGTATTATTTCATTGGTCTGCCCATGGGCACCCATCGCGGTGGGGCTATACATCTCCGGTGACGCGAATTGTGGGCTCACTCCGCTAACGGAGTATGCGTGCGAGGAGGCGCTCGGAAAATCGATCGGGTATTGCGAGTAAAGATACGGGTGGTTTTGTAAACCGACGCTGGAATAAACAATTTCATACTATTATCGAATGCTCAGTGAATTTTGTTTTTTTCATTTTACGATCAACGTTGGTATTTCGCGTCATTTTTTATGTCACTCAAGTCAGTGTTTTTTTTTTTTTTGTAAAGTTTGTTTATTTTTATGAAAATGTCAGTCTGTGGATATGATTGACGTGCGTTTAAATATTTTTATTCAACATTTTACAATGCTTGAATATTGTATTATAGAAATTTCATTTTTCAATTATAAACAAAAGCTATTTATTTTGTTTTGTGAGGCTTTTGTTGAGTATCAATTAACACAAGAATCAGTTAACAACTGAGAATAGAAATTATATTATAATTGAAATTAATTGCTGAAAATGCAATGCCAATTAGCTGCGTTTCGCATTTGACGGATGCCAGTCGGCACATATTCTTGGAACTCAAGAGCGAAATTCTTTGATTAATTAATTTACAATTAACTTAGTTGTCAGTCGTATTCCAGCAACGGTTTTGTCAATTCCATACATTATATTATTGTAGTCTTTCGTAATTTGGTTAACACAATTCAAATTTTTTACGAAGGTCGGTCATTAGTCGGCGTTATCATAGGTTTTTCTTTTAATGAACAGTCTAAGTCATTTTTTGTTAATACACCACGATTCGAGTCTTACAAATAAAATCAGTCAAAATAAAGCTAAAGGTCATCTCAGTAAGTCATAACGCTAAAAACATTTGTGCAATATTTTTCATTTCACTTTTAAATGTCTTTTTCAGGAAAAAGTTTTCAGTGTTCATCTTCAGTCTGTACAGTGCTGAATTTACATAGAAATGGTTCATTTACATTATATTACTTTTCAGCTGCAGCGGGATGCACTCAGAAGGAATTAATATTTGTGAAAAGCGTACGCTAGCATAATCACGTGTTTTCAGAAATTGAAATAGGAATGAGAAATGTGTTTTATACATAGAGGTACATATATATGTATGTAATAGAATAAAAGTTACGTTTGAATGAGTTTTGAAGTGTTTTATATGATTTTTGATTCGTTATGAGATAAATAAGTTGTAGATATGAGTTGAGGTCTGGTAATGAAATGAAATAATATTTAAGGTACAGTTCCTTGACAATTGCATATCTTGTGCTCCATGAGGTGTTTTAATCTCATTTCGAAAATTTTAGCTTCATTTTAAAAAAATATTATGTATAGTATATAATATTCAGTCAAATGTCTAGGTACTTTATGTACTTCATATCACGTAATATATCACATTACTATTAGTCAAGCATACGTATGTATATCTCAACTCTATGTTTCTTTTCAAAATTCCCAAATATAAATCTTTTAGAGGCTACCCTATTTAAATACTATATCCGATACTGAATACGTATATGGACGATTTTCCGAAGAAATTTTCTATTTTGATTTGACCCAATATTTGATTCTTGAAATGCCATAAAAGGCTTATTGAAGTCTTATCTAATATTATGGACGAATCCCTCCCGCCAAACATTTAATATATTTCGTTGATACTACCATACCGATACATAAAATGGCAAAGAAAATAGCACACATTTTGGATATAAGTATGAGACATTTTCGGAATGAACAATTCTGAGAATTTTGTTGGTAAATTAATTTAATATAAAATAAACTAGTTTTATTACCATGATAATAATATCATTGTTATGTTATAAAACGATGTTTTAAACACAAAATCATGGTAATATTATAGAGTACATAGAAATATGAGCCGCCACGATGAGCCACTGCTCATGAATAAGAATCCCATTTTTCTTCATCATTTATTATTATGTGTCGGAGAGCCAAGCTTTGGCACGAATGGGTCGGCTCGACCGCAGTGATACCACGGCCTCACAGAATACCGACGTGAAACAACCACAACGTTGTGTTTCGCAGTGTGAGTGAGGTTACCGGAGGCCCAATTCTGCCCCTTCTCCTATCCCTTCCCGATCCTTATATCCGCAACCCCTATTTCAAATAACAACAAGAATTTTTTTATGGTATAAGTCGACAAACGAGCAGATGGATTACCTGATGGTAAGCAATCAGCGCCGCCCATGGACACCCGCAACACCAAAAGAGTTACTTGACGTGAGTAAGACTTTAATACCTATGAATTCAGTAGGAAAGAAGAAAGTTTCTCAAATTTAGATATTGCATTAAATTTTTTTTACAAATATCCTCTCCCAAGCTAGAAGAATATTTGCTCTAGTCAGTGAGTGAAAGAAAATAGCAGCACGCATTTGGTTTTCATCTCATTCCTAAGTAATGATGATTAATATAACGGAACTAGCTTCAAGAATAAATTTATCGTGTGCAAGTCAGTCAGCCGTCAGTCATGCTTAGTTGATCGTATTAACATCATTTATAATGAATTATACATTATTAAATAATTAACGGACGTTACCAATCATGTGTTTTTTATCACTGGGTGAAATGTACCTACTAGAAAAAGATACGAAAGGCAAATTTGGGATGATAGTGTCTTATAATTGAGGTAAAAATTTGATATTTTGTGTGACTTGTTGATTTAAAAAAAAAAACACGTTGCCCCACTCTAAGATTTTCTCCTATGTCGTGGGTGCGTTTACAAACATACAATTTCACATGCACATCACACCCAGACCCGGAACAACGATCTGTGGATCACACAATCAGTTGTTCCGTGCGGGAATCGAACCCGCGACACGTTGCGCGCTAGCCAGTTGCCCAGCCACCGCGCCAGACGTGCAGTCTAATCGAATCGATTGCTCAATAAAAAATAAGCTATTATAAAAAATGTGCCTGTGGGCGGAAGCTGATATTAAATTTTGATAAATTCTGATTGGGAATGTCCGTTAAAACTATAATTATGTTATTAGTATACATTAAAATGAAAATATTTATCATAATATTTATTCGGAATTTTAATTATAAAATTATTTTGATAGCTCCAAATGCATAATATAATAGTCATAAATATTTTCATTCCAATAGAAGGTAAATTATACAGAGCATTTTTCAAATAAGTTCTTGATAATTTTTGTTACATCTTAAATATTAATGTTATAGGATCAAAGGTAGTTAATTATTACTCAAACTATTCCTAAGTTAGCATTTCTTGGAAAAAAAATGGATAAATCTGAATTCATCATCAGCTTATAAGCGCTCACTGTTGAGCAAAGGCCTCTTATCACATGGAGAAGGTTTGAGTATTAAATGACCATGCTTGCTCAAGGAGATTTCAAAGAAATTATAAGTCCATCTACGTTTTTTACGAGGTTTTCCTAAATCTGTGTCAATTTTAAAATATTTATAGCATTATGAATTGAAGTTTTTTTTTTTTAAAAATACTATAAGACAGGGATACTGAGCAGTCACCGTAGCTTACTAAAGATTTTATAGAACACGAGGTAAGAGAGCAGACGTGAAACCTGATGGTAAGCAATCAGCGCCTCCCATGAAGAACCTACACCATAGAAAATAATATGAATTCACGGAAGCACTATGATTTATGATCCACCATGAATCGAGACAATGGAGAAATGTGACTAATTTCCACTGAACTTTAAAGAAAATTTGTATTCCATTTTCCAAATGACAGCTTAGGAAATGGATAAGAAATGAGGATTTGACAGGGACAATCGATTTGCGTTGATTAAAATATTATTGTGATATAGTAAAACCTTTTATGCGAAAATTATTGTGTAGTCTGACTTTTGGTTTTAATTATAACCAATGTCAGTGTTTGATTAATATAACAAATTGTAACTTATTTGTAGTTATAGGGGTCTATTGTGGATGTGTCGTGGTGGTTAATGATTTAAAAGGGTAACGATGGAGTTTTATCCTCCTTCCTACGATCGACACTTTGGAACGAGCACCAATCTTCATTGAAGAATGAACTGACAGATATTATAATATTCTATTTTGATGTATCAAAAGACCCTGTTTATAGATTAGTTGGAATAAATGATTCTGACTTTGGTCTGTTGGTTAAGACGTCCGCTTCACATGCGTTCTTGTTTGAACCTGGCAAGTACCAATATGTTGTTTCTTTTGGCAATGCCACATATTGTTACATAGTCAGTTTTTACGATATACGCATTATTAAATGTAATCTAATATTCGGTAAAGGAAACCTGGTCTTATAGTTTCTAATTATAAGGTCTTAAATCGCAATCTGCCTGAGGCAATCGGGGTTATTCATGTTCATTGTTCAATCTTTCTCTGTGTGAGATAATGCTGCTACTGCTGCTTTACGTTGAGGGCATTTATTCATTTATTTATTTTGTAAGATCGCCAACCAGTGTTACCTACACAACTTGCACAAAGTGATGCTCTCATAGGCTGATGACTTGAAGCTGAATTTTAAACAGCACATTAATTTTAGGGGGCACTGTTGTCATATTACTCCTCTCGCCAGGGGTATGGCTTCAGGAAGCGTCAGACTCTTAATATCTAAAAACCACCTTCATTCTCGCTTGTCCCAAAACAGCGATTGCTAAAGCTTCAAATATAAAACCTGTTTTTAACTATTTGGTCCTACAATCCTCATGTACTTCATAGGAGACATGCTTTTAAAACGTACTCGGAGAACATTTTTTTTGTTTGGCCATTTTACTTGGAACAGCAGTAATGTATTCCGAAAAACCATTAAAGCCATTATCGTTAACGAGAGTTGTAATGGTCAAACTCGTTTTGTATCTGAAAAAGCCTTTATTTAATTGCTTGTCATTTCCCATCCCTATTTGGGATTATCTTACAGACCATGAAAATGGTGTTCTGTGACAGCTCCCATTAAATCCATGGGAATGTGAAGTAATTCCAATCAATGTCCAAATTTCGGAACAGATGAGGAAAATTGGATATTAAGTCGTCCCAAAAATAAGTTCTCTAAGTAAATATTGGGGACATTTAAAATTTAAATTATGATATCTCTTACGACTGACGGTATCTACAATAAATTTTGTTTAAGTAAATAAATTATGATAAAAATATCGCTTTGATTTTTAATTCTGGATGATATTTGGATTATTATTTGTGTTCCTAGTTAAGTAATTGGTAAATTTATTACAAAAAAATCAAGAACTTATTGAAACAACACTCTTTGAATTGTGTGCCAAGATATTTCAATGTCCATATTTCTTTGGAACTCTTACATGCCTCATTCTAAAGACACATATTCTTCTTGGCACACAAAACCTCTACAAGAAATCGTTAAGAAGATTAAAAATCCGTCTCCACTTACCCACTTCCATAAGTTTCATACAACTTTTTGACTGCCATTCCAACTGTTACTAGTAGTGCCACTTTGCTCGCTAAGAATGCCTTCAAGGTCAACACAGTTACTATTGCCATGGCAAACATTGCCATCCCTGCTGACTTCATGCCGAATAGGAGGGGGATTATCACTTGCATCACTTTCTTCTTCTGACGCCTGCCTGGAATTACAGAAGAAAACTAATTGAATAAAAGAGGTTTTTTAAGTTTGTTTGATGTCAATGTGTGGGAATTTAAAAATAAAACTGGCTGAATTTGGATGAACTTTATCTGTACCTATATTGAGTTCTATTTTATATGTAGGTAAGGTAAGGTTTGATATTCAGTATTTTTTTTCATGATTAATTCATTTAACCCCACGTTAACGCCGGCGGTCGCGCATCTGTTATCTTATTATTGTGTCTTATATATTACCTCAATTTTTTTATTATTTATTTGTTTAGTGACTTTTACAATCGCAATGCGTATGTCAGTCCCATCGTACCCTAAATGGATTAACAACATTATATCATTTAATTCTATAATACTCATAGCTGTGCCATGAACCTAAACAGACTCTTTGCATCATCACTATAAGGTTGAGCCAAAATCTTATGAAAAGTGCCAACTTCAAGTCTGTTCAGATTACCACAATTGAAATGTTAAAGGAGCAAACGATTTTTTATAATAAAATTGGACATATTTTTCGACCCAATGCTACTATAAAGTATTCATTTTTTTTACAAATCTCATATAATTTTGACTGATCTGATAATCCTGATATCGAGCCGAAAATCTTGAAATTTGCCCAAGGAGATCAATTTCTTACTTTTTAATGAGTTCATTAAATATTCAGATATTTATGATTAAAAAGCAATAGCTTTGTCCTTTCATTTATGGCGTTGTACGTCTTGCAGTTACATATAATTTGAAGATTGGAATATTTAGGAATTGCGGATAGAATTTGGCCTTATTGAGAATGTAAAACAACGGTTTTACGTAAGTAATAAAGACTAGCCGTAATCTAGTATCAACATGGAGGGAGCACAATGATGGTTTGGAAATTTGGAGCAGGAGATTAAACGGGATGGTTTTTAGTCAGTAGCAGTCTGACACGGCCGTCTAAGGGTGGGAGAAGTTATGAAGAAACAAACAAGCAGAGATGATAAAAGTATTCTGGTAAAGAATTTTTCTGAAAAACATAGATATGAAATGACTAAGGATATGATAATATATGACACTAGGTACTCTCACGCGGTTTCACCCGCTGCTCGGCTCCATTTGATCGTAGCGTGATGTTTTATAGCACACAGGAATATTGTAGCTATCTATCAGTGAAAGAATTTTGGCAATCCGATCAGCGGTTCTAAAGAATACCCCCTGCATACAAACTTACAAATTTTACCTCTTTATAATATTAGTATAGAGTATACCTATGTAGATAATATAATAGGTAGAAACTAGAGAGATTATGGATGTGTCGGTATTACCAAGTAAAACTCTTGAAGGTAAAATATTCACTAAATTTAAGAAAGAATTTCCTTACATAACACAAAATATAATATAATAATATCAGTATGCTAAGCCTAAGCTTAGACTCCAACCAAGAGATCCAATATAATCCAGTATGGCCCAAAGTCGTGATCCCAAAAACCTTTTCTTTAACACTACCTTTTACAACTAAAACCGTATTATTACATAAATTTTACAAGTAATTGAAATTACAATCTTTTGTACAAAGAGGAGGGTCTGTTCCACTGAACTTTGCAAAGGGTCTTGCTTTTGAAAGCTTGTATAGCCGACGGATAATTTTGACCCTTTTGGCCTCTCGTTTGGCGTTGGAAAATGTTTCGTAATCATCATAGATTACATATTTATTGTGTTTTTGAACTTATTCCCTACTAAATTGCCTATGGGATATTAGGCCTTATCCGGACTATGGTGAAAAATTATCCGCGTAACATTTTACTGTATTCAAATAAGTTGCGGGTCGAAAGATAGGTACGGCTGCTTTTATTAAGTTTTTTGTTTCACAAAACTATGCGGTTCTGTACCAGTGTGATATCGCCTAAAAGAACATACTAATAAAATGGATCTATTATCATGTGTGGGAGAGCCATGCTTCGGCACGAATGGGTCGGCTCGACTGAATTAATACCACGGCCTCGCAGAAAACCGGCGTGAAACAACCACAGCGTTGTGTTGCGCCGTGTGATTGAAGTTACTGGAGGCCCGATTTTTCCCTCCCCCAATCCCTAAATCGCCAAATCCCTAATCCTCAAAAGGTCTGCAACGCACTCGTAACTCCTCTGTGGCTGTGACGTTTATGGGCGACGCTGATCACTTACAATCAGGTAATACTTCAGCTCGTTGGTCGACCTATCACATAAAAAAATAACGTTTATCAGTGGTATCTAAATTAACTTAAAAAGTACATAATTATAACTCTGTAAAAGTCAGAATTAAACCTGACACGTGACTTAATATATGTATGAGAAGCGACCCCTAACCACGACTTTTTAGAAACATCAAAGATCACCTAAACAAAATCCCATATCTTATCACTCTTACTAAAAATAAACAAGAAATATAGTAGTCGGATAAATAAAAGATATAAATAAAACAAAGTAACCCAAAACTTAATACAAAAGATAAAACTTTTGATAAAACTTCTTTAAAAATGATTTAAAACATAAATTTTGTCAGTTTGTTATCTCAGGTAAAGAGATAATTCTGAAGCCTTGAAGGCTTGAATATTCATTTTAGACAAATTTTAGTTTGTTGTACTAAAAACCTGAACAGCTGTGACGGTTTTCTACATAAATTAAAACTAAACTTAGTAAGTATTACTAGAAATTCCATTTTATAGTAATCAGTTATTGAATTTTACAATGTGATATAGATTTGTAAATCTTAAACTTATTAGTTTTCGCCATCTCGAATTGCACTCGGAACTCCGCGTCATACCTACATACATAGGGTCTAATATTCTTACAGACAACTTGGCTCTTTAGTAATTTCAATATTATATACCAAACCAAATATTTTCAATATTAACCGAAATATTATATACCAAGGTCTAACCTGGACCCTGGAATCTCACCCAAGTCTTAGCTATCTTTCTCTGAAATCGACGAAAAATCTTTAGTTTATAAAATTAATATGTAACGGGTCTCTTAAAACAGAAAAACACTAATCAGACACACGTTTTAATCCACATAGTATTTTTTTCAGATTTTCTCCAAACAAATTCCCCAGTCGTCAAATATACAAGAAAACTTACAACACTTTTCAAACAAAATTAAACTTTACCTTGAAACATACAAAGTTAAAAATTAATCTCTCACGCTTCTTTTGTAGCGTCGATTTGTAATGTCATTAGTGCTGGTCGGATAGCGATCAGTGTCAAATCGATTCACGTCCGGTTATGAAGAAAGTTGATTCCGTATCGATTCAGAGAATAATCGAGCTATTTTCTACAATCTGGAGTAGGTGATGTGAGCTGCCAAAGGCGGATTCTGCGATGATTTACCTGAATATTTGTTCAACCAAGGAATAGATGAAATAATTAGTACAATTTAATTTTCCTAAGACAGCAAAAATTAAAAAAAAGATCTTTTGAAATTCGAACTAGTCTATAAACAGTTAATGGTACCAGGTTTTTGTTGGCTGCAGATGGTTTTTATATTCCAAAATAATCTGCACTAACGTACCACTTGTAACTTTTGAAATAGAATTAAAAACGATTGTTTTCTATACTTACTGGCAAGGGCCAGTGAAACCATATATTTATTTTTGCAAATAAGCCATAAAACGACATTTATTTTATAGACGTCAAAACCTTTGTCTCGCCAAGACCTCTGTCTTGCGCTAAATAATAGATTAATATAACTTGTAAGTCGTTTAATATTTATTAATATTATACGATTTACAAGCTATCACGCCTACCCATAAGCAACCTATTCACTCGAGCCTTGAAAAGACCTAGGCTGAAACACAGACTCCAGCAAAGAATTCAAAATCGTTCGGAAGAAAACTCAGGCGTGAACTTCGTGCTTATATGTGGGATATGCATCATGAAGCGGTTGGATGTATCCAACTAATTGTATACCTAGTTGTTACTTTTGTATCTACCTTTTCAAATTTCGAACTTCATTCAAAAGAAGCAGCAAAATTATAATTTGGGCCATCACGGCTTCAACACCTTTCTAATATAAACTAGGACTATTATAGTATAGATTGTTATTTCATAAACCCGATCGTAGGGCGCGTGTGCTTCAAAAAGCCAATAGATCACCACAGACAGGACCTTAAGCTATAGGGCTGATGTTTGCTTGGTTGCGGGGTAAGCGCAATGAGACACCGCGGCCTCAGACTACAGCAGAAGAAGGAACAGGGGCGTTTTTAATCAGTATAAGTCTGACACTTCCTTCTACCCTACTCTGGGCGGGAGAAGTCATTTGATGATTTTCCTGTCACAAAAAAAGTACATAATAAAAATTGCCATTTTACGTTTTTGGCACCCACTACAGACATCCGATACATAATGGAACGAGTAGAATGAAGTACTTCGTGATCTCATACTGGAACTACGCTTCATTAAATAACATTTCGGAAAGTAAGCTCAATCAATTTGCTTAACAATGGCAAGGAATATGAAGGACGAACTGTCTAGACTACCTAATTTTGGACCCTAGGTCAGACATAGGCAGAAATGTGTCCAGTTTTTAGCGAGATATTTGATATAATAAAGCTAACATAAAATAATAGAAAAAATTCTGTATGAGTAGTCAAATTGGCAAACAGAAACGGGTATTAAAAAACGAAACTTGTATTAATCTATGAAATAACCTTTTCGCTAATTATGTTATTAGTACGATGTGGTATTGATTATTTATGGGATACCTAGGTTAGCAAACGAGCAGTTTTGCTAACTTAGTAGTTAGAAGTCATTTGATGATGGATACTCGCAACACCTGGTGAATTATATATTGGTATATAAATGGTAGGAAAAAATGATTTAGACATCACTGACATACGGTCAAAGATAATTTTTATGTAAAGGAAACTAGGTCTAACAATTTTTTTTTTGTGAATCCTTAATCCCACTTTTGAATGCGTGGTGAATAATATCTACCCATAATTTCGTGGCGCGAGAAGAGTTCTTGCTGAACAATGGGAA